TTCACATGAAGCTTATAAAGCTCTACCTTGTCCTCCAGTCTCTGTAACATCTTCCTATATGCCGGTGTCATTGCAACAACTTCACTACCAGGTAATGGGATTGAAATCCGCCTAGGCTCAAGAGCGCCATCACCTGGTTCAAGTGGTTCATGTTTATCACTTGATTGTCCTTTTGATGCTTTAGGAATTTCTACAAGTTCACCTTCCGGCCTCTCAGGTGGTTCTGAGGGAGCATACTCCTCAAGATCATCACCCTTTAAATCATTCTGAGGCTCAGATGGTTTTGACTTGTGTCCTTTCCAAAAAGGATCAAAACCCTTGGAAGTATACCGAAACTTTGGCGGCACGGGCTTTTCCGCGGCACTGGATGGTGCACCTTCCTTCTCTGAAGAGAAGCCTGGTTCCCTGTCCTTTGCAATGGGAACCTTCTCTGAGGAGGAGCGCACCACTGCATCGGGATCACCAATGCCACGGTGCTCAATGCCAGCCTTCCTGATCTTTAGATCTGGAATTTTGGCATCTGGCTTGAACTTAAAAATTGTTCTACCACGCCATTCATAGCCAATTTGTAGGTCCTTCCATTTTGCCTTGCGCCAATCATCTTGCTTCTTGATCTCTTCTCCTCCTTTCTTCTTCTTGATGATTGTCAGTCGCAAGTCTTCCAGCAAGTCAGTGTCTACAGGACAGGACTTAGTTGCTGGGAAAAGAATCTTTCTATAATCCTTGTGGTGACTTATCAGTTCTCTCTTGTGAACATCTACTTCCCAGTAGTCAACCACAGGATATGCATGTTCAGCTACATCTTCATCACTATTGTGATCAACAGAAATATGACCATATTCATAGTGAGTGAAGTGAGAGTAAAAACTCTTCTCGCGCCGAGTCTGCAAATTCACGTCAGACAGATACCATGCAATATCTTGGAAGTCCAAGACAAGATGAGTACTGGCTGCAACCTTCAACTCCAAATATTTGATACCAAGAGGCACCGATGTCAAATAAGCATGTTGAGGTGTCAGCCTGAGTTCAAAGCCTAAGTTCCTCATCTGTGGCAAGCTCATAAGCAAAGGGACTTCTCCTTCTTCCACTATGTGGAAGTCTGTATGGTGGATCGTCCATGCACGATCATACATATAAATCACCAGTTTCTGAGAGCAAGTAGCCTTCTGGGAATTGGCAAAGTAAAACTTGCTCTTGGTAGCCTCAAAAGAGTACCATAATCCACAATCTGGGTGATTGTCGACATAGTTGCAAAAATGGTCGACTGCTCGCCTTGATCCCATAGCTCTAGTGCATCCAATGTCCAGGATTGCAATAGTCGGCGGGAAGCGATTCTCAGTCAAAAATGAAATGGCCTGCATCTCCTTCACTTCTTCCTCAGCGCTCATAAGCGCAAAGCCATCAGGAGCATCTGTGAGCATCTCCTTTGACAAAGAGTACCTCACAGGGGCACTCATGTCATCGAAGATCGTCTCACCATTGTTGACCGCGCAGTCAGCTTCATCTTGACATGAGGTCATCATGCCTGACAGCAAGTTCACCTCACTGTCATGGACTTCAGCTGCTGCTGTCACACAATGTGCAAAGAAACCTTGTTGACCTCCTGATGCTTGTGAAGATCTTGAAGGTGCAGGTAAAGAACGTGGCTGTTGTTGATTTGCATAGTTTGCATCTTGTTTGCCATCTCCTTTATCTTTTCCTTTTCCTTTCTTGCCTTTTCTTTTGCCTTTTCCCTTTCCTTTGTGGGAAAACCATGCTTCTTCAAGCTGTTGCCAAAAGTCATTGGCATCATCATATTCTCCTTGAAGATAGTCATTCATATCTTCGGCAAGAATGGCATCATATGCTACTTGGTTTGACTCCCAAGTGTCCTCATAAGGATTTTCTTCAAAGTACTCTTCTGGATATGTTGTCTGTTGCTCATCAGCAAAATGGCCTTTACCTCGTCTCTTTCCTTTTCCTTTTCCACGAGGTCTGAAGAATCTGCGGCCTGATCTTCCTTTACCTTTTCCTTTTCTTCTTCCTTTTCCTTTGCCTTTTCTGGCTCTTCTTCCTTGGAATCTCCTTTGGAACCACGAGAAGTTTTGATCATCATATACCCAAAAGACATCGTCCAGGGCATCTAAAAATCCTTCTGTTCCATCTTCTTCATCTTCGGCCCAATAGCCAAATGTACCATCGAGTTCTCCTTCGTCTAGTACGAGAAATGATCTTCTACCTCCAGCACCTGTCGGCTGCATCAAAGGATTGTCTACTGAAGTCTTTGTCGTGTAGAACATCTCGATGAACACTGTCCTCAACTCTGTTGTAGTGTACTGCTGCAGGACCCTGCCACGATGAGTCATCAAAGAAGTCAAAGTGTTTCGCTGGTCCTGAGACAAATCTGCAAGTGACAGCATGAGTAAGGCAATCAGATTTTCTCCTAGAGGAAATTCGTTCTGATGAAAAGTCCTCATATTGCCATTGATGGTCTGCATGATTTCCTGAATCCTTTCTGCCGTTGGTGCTACTCCAGTCAACGCTGCATCTGCCTGCATCTGAGCTAGGACCTGTGGATGTGCTTGAGTGACTGGTTCTAACATGTCCATCCAACTGCTCATAAGCCTTTGGAATAAAATCTGGAATCTTGTCATCCATTTCATCATGTCAGCTGATCCTCGATTGAAGCGCACGAATTGCATAAATCCATACAGGAATACATTGGTTGATCCTTTCACGAAATATGGTCGTAGTACTCGTTTGAAATATTCTACGCCGGCTCCTGGTGGATCATTTGCCTTCAATGCATCTCTGTCTAAAACACGCTTGTATACAGCTGCTTCTCCTTCTAATCTGTTTCTCAATGCTGGTCCTCTCTTCTCATCCTCCAGCTCGGTGATATCACACCAATCGTCTATGGCATCCTCATAGGAAAACCATGAAGTCTTTCCATCATAAGATGGGGGCACCTTTGTAGTGACCTGTGTTGTCATTGCTATTGCTGCTGGTTCTCTTCTCAAATGCCTATTCACGTAGGCTGCTGGCTCATAAGCCACATCCGCATCAGGCTCTTCCCAGTCGTCAATCCAATCCATGGCCGTTTGCCCACAAGCAATTCTATGCCTAGGAAAGGAGCTCACCTGGGTCTTCCAGGATCACTGCTCCGCTACCACTGAAAGAGTGACTAGGGCGTACACGGTAGAGGTGCAGACCGCTAGTGTCTTTTATGCGCAGAGTCTTATCCTCTTGCTCTTTGAGCCTTGGAGCAGTCAAGCATGGACACACTATATCGGCTGTTGGAGTGGAACCCTGTACAGGTAGGCTCTACTTTTCAGGGGGGGGGTCTGTATTGAGAAATCAATTCGAAGGGGGGGGAGGGGGGGGGGGG